GACAGTCACCACTGCGAAGATCGCTGGGACAATACGTTTATTCGCCTGACGTTTCGACATCCGCCGCGGAGTCATCATCAGAGACATAAGTAAGACACAGTAGCAGAACAGTCACCTCTGCCAAAGCACGCCGGCTTCCACAGGCTCGAGCTGAGCTGCTTCATGGTCATGCGTGCACTTCTGGCTAGCCGCGTTTGCCAGCCTATTTGGCGCCCAAGCGACCTTGTCATCAGACCCCCAAACCACGGCGTTTGACGCAAGGAATCACGCGCCCAACAGCCAAACATTCACTCACACAGGAAGCGACTCAAACGCGCAAACAACGCACCTCTGCTAGCACGCTCTCGAACGGTTGAATTGTCCAGACACCGCCGCTTCCACGTTCCCAGACGGACGCATTTACCACACGCAAACAAACAGTCGATTTACGGATTCAATTAAGTGAAAAGAAATTTATTGAATCATTGAATATTTAAGCTGCGGTTATTGAATTTCAACAAACAACTCTAGTTAGTAATCGTAAGTAAAAGTCATTATTGTCAGGCATCGTAAGTTGACCAAAAGCGCGTAGACTATAAATGGTTTACACCTCCCTACAAATCAAATTCTCTGGCTGATAGTTATTGAATCTTAACAACCTGCTAAGCCCAATAAATATTCATTATTATTAGGCATAATAATTGGAGAACAACAGGTATTCTTAAAAACCAATCATAACTCAACCTCTTCCCCCACCCAATCGTAGGCTGCAAACCGAAAATATTAAATAAATAGGCATGCCTACCGAATAAACAATCAGTAGCAATATAATAAACTGACAACAAATTAGAGCAGCGTCTCCGTCACCAGCAAACAATAATACTCAGTGGCCATGTTCATGCGAGCATGTGAAGTTTATTCAATTCGAAAACTTACATCTTCACTAGGCCTCAAGGCCAGTAGTAAAAATTTGGAGATAGCATTTACTGAGGTTGGCCACCAGACGGGCGACTACTAACCTGAGATTTTATGGGCTGGGTGATTGCTTGAACCACGGTATCACGCACAGAGACGGAGAGGGGAATGCAGAGGACGGCATTCAGTGTCGGTCCCAATTGCGTCTCCACTTGTTCGATGGCACCCGAGAGGATACGGCTGTCGCCGATCAGGAGATTGCGGAGATCGAGGTTGTGCTTCTGTTTGAACCACTTCTCAATTCGCTGTACTGTCAGTGCACTCACAATCTACAAATTGCGAGGAGAGAACATTTACAAAAAAAAAGGTTTGCATTCCCCAAGAACGGTGGGCATCCTAGATTTTACATGTAATATAATGAAATGAAGTTATAAATGTTACGTAACAGAGAAACATCACTTTATTTCATCGAATTCTTCTGCCTGTCTCATGAAAGATTGACTGCATTTCTGCAAGGGAAATTCAGTTAGCAAGGATTACTCAGCTACGGCTAGGGTTGAAAACTCAAAAGAGTACAATTGCTGTCCCAGTGATCGTGCTTTCATCTTCTTTGCAACAAGAACTTGGAGCTCGCATATTCGCTTGTCTTTGACACGTCAATTCTCGCTAAACTCTCGTTGTCACTGAAAATGGCCTCTTGTACGGAGCCGAAAGCCCCGACAAAAATAAGTGCTTTTCCACTGATCGTGCCTTTATCTTCTCTGTAAATTGTGTCTTTTCACGAAAAGAGCGCTATCTTGCAGCTTTGGAAGGGTTTTGAAATCCCCAATAAGCTTGAACCCGTCATGTAGATTGGCCTGTAATTGACGTTTCCAGACTAGAGGCTGTAAACTTTCTATTAAGGTAGAAACGAAATTCGCCCTTAAGCACTTAACGGTATTCGAACATGTTGCTATGCATGTGATCCACGAGACATACTTAATAGTTTTGTAATAATAAACGTGATTTTTTAATGAAGGCCGTGACTTCACGGCCTTAAACCTATAAAAATGTGAACTATCTAAACCTGAGGCTGTTGATTCCTTGAATAGAAAATTTGAGGCAGACATCGCCTGATACAAAATGGATGCAAGAAAAAAATATTTGGCATGATTCATATGAAATATATTTAGACTTATAAAGACCTAAAAACCAATCGACAAACATGAGTGTCATTAAATTTCTCGCTCTAGCGAGCGGCCGAAAGGAAGCACATTTTACTGCCAGCATCCAGGCATGAATTACATGGGATTATGCTACACTATAGTAAACATTACAGCGCCACCTAAGTAATCCTTTCTAACCGAATTCCAATCAACGTTTCACGAGATATGTCAACTACTGCAGGTCATATTGTACCCATAGCCTGGCCTTCCCTCTGTCCTTCGATTTTCCTCGTTCCTGTAGACAGAATATTTTGAATTACTGCTCCTACGGCAAGATCTTGGCTGAAACGAAAGTCTGACAACCACGACCCCTTTTACCACAAACCGAAAATATCCACAAACATGCCTACCGAATACGATTTCAGTAGCAATGTAATATATTAACAAATTATATGAGCGTTTCCCATTCCGGCTGCCCCAAGACATATCCACAGGTGTGCAGTTTGTCGATCGCAAGGCAAGTGAGTATTTTGATCTATAAAACCACTAAGTGCAACTCTTCACACTGTGCGGCCTAAGCACACCGCACTTCACGAAAGAGCAAAAATAATCAAGAAACATGGACGCTAAATCCGACTATTGTTTTTAAAATGATATTTTCGAATATGGCAGTCAGAGGTGGGGGGAAGGGAAAGATACCTGGTTGTAAACATATTTGAGGACCGTATTTAGGTGTCCGGTCGGTGCGACATGGGGACCAACTGCAACCAGGATCAAGTGACCGCAGATTTTGAAAACAATCTTCCGCTCTTCAGTAATGATGGTACGCAGTTCATCGCCATCCTGGTTGGCAACAGACACCAGTGCTTGCATCACGCCCATGAGATGAGCCAACTTTGTTTCATCTGCATACCTAGAAGGAGGAGTAAATGCTACAGTCAGCACACAGTCGATCCAATACGACACATACAGGAGAAGCAAG